TTAAAGTTAATTTTCAGTTTGTTTCTTTGTCTCTTTAATATGTCACAATCTTCCTTGGATTTTTCTTTTCCCCTAGATTCGATCAGTTTCTGACTTAATGCCTTGTAAAAAATATACTTTAAAATTATACACTCTGTGGCATCCTATGTGTTAACAAACGTATTTGTTTTTACAGAAAATGTCTGATCAGCCAGAAATTCGACCAGTTCTCAATCTTGATGAGAGCACATGGGAGGGCTGGTTGAACTCCTTCATTTTGTGGGTTGCTCAGAATCCTTGGCAATTTTTGTCAAATGTTCTACTTTGTTTGTCTCCATTTTTCCTTATTTCATTGATACTATCTTGGAAATTGTCAAAAGCGTTAGAAGAGGAGAGAAAGGATAAGAAGGCCAAGGCCAAACGGTCTGCTCAAATTGGCAAAGCTCGATCAGAAAGGCAACACAAAAAGCATGTTCAGAAAGAATCTTGAGTAGAATTAACTCTGTTAACCATTTTGTAAGTGAAACCGTTCATACAACTTTAACCTCCCATTTATTGTTTTATTCCATATTACTTCAGTGTGATTGAGTAAAATACTTGATGCCACAATACTTTACTTTACAACTCATTGCATTATCTATCTAACTGTCAAAATTAAGCAATGCTGAACTTTTTTGAAATACTTTACTCATTTCAATGAGGTGAACAGAACAAGACTGTAACAGGAAATAATGTATACTTTGGTAACTGGTTAAGAAAAAACATAAAAACATTTAAACTTGTGCGAGGTGTACGGAGTAACACACGAGTTTGGCAGGTAGATGTTTATTGCTCGGATGCTCAGAGACAAGTAACAGAATAACAGCTGACCGCCTACCTGATCACTACCGCGCCCTAGTGGCGGGTTACGGAACTACGTGGGGAACCAGACCGGGGAAAGCCTACTCCCGGGGACCATTACTATTGGTTCTCCGCACAAAACTGATTCATGGTGATGTGGTTTTATTATATTTTTAATTACAGTCTTCTGGCAAACATCCCCTAGCTTAATAAGGAATGACAAAGCAAAAAATTCAATATCCATAAATACAATGGGAAAAAAAAACACAGAAAAGCTGGGCAAGATTGTAATTTGTACAACACAGATTTATAAGGCTGCTCTTTAAATGATGAGTTAAGCCCTTTTTCCTGACAAATTCTATTTAAAATGTCTAAAAATGTATTATTTCAATCTGATTTGACTAGTTATATATTAATTGCCAAAACGGCTCACAGCCAAATTCTTACACAACATAATTCATAAAATGAACAGGTCTCAATTCCAAGTCACACAATACTGTGCTTTAAATTCATATTAATAAAACCTATGCTATGATTCAAACACCCAGTCACATGGAAGTTTAGGCATTTTAGAAGCTGGCCATGGAAGGTAACCAGCAGTCTTAAAAACCCAATAGTCATATGATACTTTTGAAATCAACAGGATGAGGAGCAACACTTCAGCTGCTACTAGATAATAAACATACTCTGTCCAGTCAGACGGCACAGTGCAAACTTTGTTTTGGTCCAGTTCAAACACCTGCAATCAAAAGAGAACAATAAATACCAAAACATTCCCCCCAAAGTATCTTCAGATATTGAAAATAATGTTAGAAAATGTTATGTAACATAGTTACCCTTTCTCGCATATTTTCACAAAGGACTTCATTGTAATCAGGGATGTGTTTGTAGTTTGCATTCAGCCACATCTGGAGGTTATTAGATGACTAGAGTCAGATACAAAAAATAATGATTGAAATTTAAGCTGCATGAAACTAGTATTACCTTTATTGTTTGGGCAGTACTGCAATCACATTTCAGATGGTTGAGGCCTAATCGTACAGTTCTTGCTGTCCAGTTGAGGTCAAAGACATTTGATAAAATATAAGTGGGTAGCTAGAACAAAAATCCCCAATAAGATGAATTTGACTTGACATAATATTTTAGCACCTATGTGAAGTACTTAAGATACTTACTATGGAAATATTGTTGTTCCGCAAACTTAATGTCAGAAAGCTAACAATAAATGTTGATCCCTCAAGAGCATTTATAGATGTAATTTGATTGTCATCAGCATAAAACTCTCGTATATCTTTGTAAGCTGCATTCATACTCAGTGCTTCTAAATTACTAATCTGAAAGGGAATGAGGTTTTCATGACTGATTCTAGTCCAAAAAAGCTAAAATACAACAAGTACTTGAAGAAAAACTTACATTGTTGTAGCTGACATTTAGGGATACAGTATTTTTAGGAAGTATTAAAGGAAGTTTAGTTAGACGTCGATTTGAACAATCAACTTGAACTGAAAAAGTAGGTGGTTTTCCAGGAACCATGTCAAGGCGGACTGCCTTGCATATGCAAGGTTCAGTTTCACCACGAGGGCATTCCTGTTCTAGCTACATTAATAAATTAAATATCGAATTAGCAATTATTTGTCATAGAACTCAATTACTTACAATTTCAAAAACTAATTACCTTGTTTAGCAAAACAACTGAAGCAAGGGGTACTTTTTCAGTTGAATTAAACCAATGAAATGAACTTGGATTGAGACAATATGTGTTGTTATCATGACTAAATTGGAGGTTTTTCATGTATTTCATGAGTTCTTTAATGCTGTCACAGCTGAGATTATTGTTACCTGCCAATTATTAGGATATATATTAACTTAAATATTTAAGTGAATCGGAAAAAGAGGACGAAAGAAATTATTCTTACCAGAAATGTCCAGTTCAAATTGAGGGACATCTGCATGTAGAGTCAGTACATGCTTGAGATCATTGCCCGAGAGGTCTAAATTAGTGAGGGAATGCAGATAAGCAGAAGTATTTTCTGACACATCTATCAAACTGTTTGATGAAAGGTTCAGACAGGCCAGATTTTTTGCATCAAGTAGCCCCTTAAGTTCGGTGATGTGACCATCAGTGATGGCTAACGACTCCAATTGAGGCAAGTGCAGCTTTGTAAGGTGCAGTACACCGACGTCGAGGGAATGTAGAGTTATGTTTCTCGCATGGAGTGCAGTAATGTTCACTCCGACTGAAAAAAGAAAATGTGAAATATGAAAACAAAATTAACTTGCAAGAAAGACCCCAACCAAAAATTCGACCCCAACATAACATACCCAGACCCTGGCAGTTTAGACTCTCCTTGAGCTGCAGCTGGGTGGTGACGTCGCAGCAGATGACGGTTGCGGTCCCGGGGATGAGTTTGCATCGACACAGTTCCCCGGGCGGCGGACAGTGCTCCTCACCCACATGGACACAAGGGGATGGCTCAACGTCTTCGGGCTCGGTGACAACCATGGACGGCGGCGTGGTCATCGGCGGAGGCCCCGACCCCGTCGCAGTCTGGGGTATCGGGGGCGCCGTCGCAGCCGTCACATTCGGGCTCGGTGAGACGGGAGCTGGTGGTGGCACCGGGATTGGACTGGGGGCAGAGGTAGCTGCCCCGACCGGGGCGCCGACACTCTCGCCTGTAGCGCCACCGGGAGCATCGTTGGGAACGCCGTTGGGGGCGGCGACGGGAGCGCCGTCGGCAGCGCCGCTGGGGACGTACGGCTCCACCTGCCTGGCGTTGCTCCCCACGAGCAGGAGGAGCACGAGCACCAGCACGGCGGACATGGCCTCGCGGAGAACTGCAAAAGAGGTAAAAGACTTGTCGAATGCTGGCCTCCCCGTGGGCGGGCGCGGGGGAACGGGTGGCGGGGGAGCCAACGGCTGCGGCCGCGCCCCTAGGGACAACATTGGCTTTCATAGGGGCGGGAGGGGGTAGACGAGGGGATACTTAATGACACC